GTCAAGTGGGAGTGGGATTTGTGGTGGACAAAGTGGCACTGGGGCAGGATTTCCCCGAGCACTTCGGTTTCCCCTGCCAATCTTCATTCCACCAATAGCTCCACATTCAACCTCACCTATCATCTGGGGTTGGTACAATAGGCCAGAAGTGGCCGCAGTACAAGGGACTTAGTCCCACCCCAATAGGGGGGGGGGACAGAAGTGCTCTGTCTTCTGGGATATAATTCCATGCAGTCCACTGGAAACCAAGTTACATTTTATAAAAACACATCACTTCCATCTTTAGGACAGAAGAACAGGCTAAGCAAGAGACATGCTTGCTCACTGCTTCATGCTGAATTCTCGCTCAGCTTAGTCTTGCCTCAGATGTTGATGGAAACATCACTCAATTTTCAGCAGACTACACGGTGTTATATCCTTGAAGACAGAATTTTTAATAACCACTGATGTGAGAATGTCGAATCCTGCACAATGATTACTAGACCAACTTCCCTTTACACTTTCACAAGATTCAATCCTATTTGCTTTTTGACTTTTGTGAAAGTATAAAGGCAAGATGGTCTAAAATTCACTGCATTTCTACTCAGAGCCACAGAGTACAGAATGAATAAATATCTATGAAGAGAGCTTACCAAATACTGTGAGCATGAGATTCATTCTTCAAGCCCAAATTTGTGAAACTTGTATCTCAAGTAACAATTGACATACCTATAGCAGAAATGGCAAACCATTCGCACTGGTGTCAAGTTTGGCATCATCTGGCCCCAGTGATTATAGGTTCTGTCCACACTGATATCTGGAGCCACTTCATAATTCAACAGCTCATCAATCCGCAACTAATTTTCATAAGACATATTTTTGATGTTATATAAGATTTTTAACCACAGTCCAGTGTGACTGATAAAAGTTATGTTTTTAATTTTTCATCCTTTACAAGTTTCAGTCAAAACGACTATCTTCAGAAAGATATTGTCATGTGTCCATGGATCTGTAACAAATAATTGTGGATTCTGGCTTAAACTAAGTTATTTTATTGGATAACTCATTTACAATTACAACCACAATCACTCTGAAATAGCGTCCTCCAGATGATGCGACCTGACTAGTCTGTCATCTCTCACATTTCGTCTTCTAGTTCTTGGCAGAGCTGGTTCATCACCTCTGCTCCGTTCACCACTGATCTGATCCATCCTGTGTTCCATTTGGTCTCTTATCTTCTACAGTCGGACGGACTAGAAAACACTTCTTGAAGAGTATTCGTTGCAGCAGGAACTGCACTAGCTCTGGCCTTCATTCCCGTGGTAAAGTCTGCCAATGCATGTGCTGTCATGTTTACAATTTCCTCCTAGGCAATAATCTATTCACTATTCCTAGTTGTACGGGTAACATAACTACTGAGCCATTGTGTAGCAATGGACATCTCTGTATGCACTGTCTCGGAAACGTGTTTTAACAAGCTGTTGTCTAGCCTGCTGGGATATTCTGACTTTTAGGCGGTACGCAACGTCTTATCAACACATATGGAAACTACTATTACCATGACATGGTAGTTTCCATATGTGTTCATAACATCCTACTGAAGATGGTCCTTTTTCATGAAACATGTAAATGATGAAAAATTAAAAACCCAACTTTTATCAATCACATTGGATGGTGGTTAAAAAGTCTTACATACAATTACTAGTGTGACAGACCAGGAAGAACCAGTTACATTTTTTTGATGTTACTTTGTCAACTAATTTTAATCATGAAATACATAGTCTAATTTTAGAAGCTGTCCCAAAAATGAAGTGGATCCTAGCCCTTTTGAGGTTGGAAATGTTACTGCAAAGTTGAAAAAGCATAAGTCACCAGGTAGTTTTCAAATTCCAGCAGAACTGATTTAAGTAGGAGGTAAAAATGATTGCCTCAGATCCATAAAATCATTAGTGGAAAGAGTCTATTATGATACCACTTTACAAGAAGGGCGATAAAACAGAGTAATTACTGTAGGATATCAATGTTATCAATTTCCTACAAAATTTCATCGAATATCATTCTCTCAAGGTTAAGTCCATATGGAGACAAAATTATTGGAGACCATTAGTGTGGGTTTTGACATATGTGATGAACTACTGATCAGAATTTTTGCGTTCATCAGATACTGCAGAGAAAATGGGAGCACAATGAGAGAGTACACAAGCTATTCATAGACTTCAAGAAAGCCTATGATTCATTTAGGAAGTAAGTCTTGTACAATACTCTCATAGAGTTTGGGGTCCCCATGAAATTAGTTAGGCTGATTAAATGAAGAATTTAAAGGCTTCTGATGATGGTGGATATTACTTAGAATTACTCACTTACTTTGTCCATCATCTAGTATTCTAAATAATAGAGAACTCAACATTTCAGAAACTGGGACTGTTTCCATCTGCAGGTGAGAGGGAAGACACCTACTCTGTTGGGACCCTTAGAAACAGTTAACCTCAATTACTGGCCAGTGATAGAGGTTAGCTATTTCTAAGGAACCCCACAGAGCAGTTGTCTCCTTTTCACCTGAGGATGGGAACAGTTCCAGTTTCTGAAATGGTTTATTCTCTAGATTTTAGGATACCAGACAATGAACAAATTCCAAAAACCCAGTAATTGTGAGCGAGTAAAATATGTTTAAATGAAAAATAGTAAAGTCTGTATAGGTAAACATTTCTCTCATACTTTTCTTATTCAAATTGGTCTAAAACAAGATGCTTTATTGCCATTGTTTTACGACTTTACTTTAGACTATGCCATTAGGAAGGTCTAGTCAAACCAGGTGGGACTGAAATGAAATGGGACACATCAGCTGCTGGTCTCTGCTGCTGATGTGAATCTATTGGGGATAACATACATCCCACAGTGAAAAACACAGAAATTTTAAATGACACTAGTAAGGAGGTTGGTCTAGAAGTAAATGCAGAGAAAAATAAGCATGTGCTTTGTCACCAGAATGCAGGGCAAAATCATGATGTGATTATAGCTAACAGATCCTTTGAAAATGTGGCACAGATCAAATATTTGGGAATGACAGTAAGAAAGCAAAATTTGATTCATGAGGAAATTAAGAGGAGACTGAATTCCGGTAATGTTTGCTACGATGCAGTCGATAACCTATTTGTCTTCTCATCTGCTGTCTAAAAATGTAAAAATCAGAGTATACAAAGCTATAATTTTCCTTGCTGTTCTGCATGGGTGTGAAATTTGGCCTTTGGCATTAAGGTACAAACCAAAGACTGGGGGTGTTTGAGAACAAGGTGCTGAGAATATTTGGATCAAAGAGAGATGAGGTAACAGAAGGCTGGAGAAAAATAGATAATGAGGAGCTTCATCAAGTATAATCAGAATGACCAAGTCAAGGAGGATCAGATGGGCAGGACATCTAGCATGAATGAAGACTACTAGGAAAATATAGGTGAGTGCATAATATTAAAATGGATCTTAGAGAGACAGTATGGGGTGGTATGGGCTGGACTGATCTGTCACAGGGTAGACAAGTGGATGACTTTTGTGAACACAGTAATGAACCTTCGGGTTGCATAAAATGCTGGGAAATTCCTTAATAGTTGCATAACTGGCAGCCTCTCAAAAAGGGCTCATCTCCATGGAGTTATTTAGTTAGTCTCATAAACAAAATAAACCAAACTCAAGCTACGAACGGAAGAACTGTCTACAAATGTGTTGCAGTGTATATCTCATTAAGCCCATTTTGAGCAACAAGAATGCCTGACACCACTTCCTGTTGCTAAATGACAGATGATGTTCACCCGACACCAGGCAGCAAAAAGGTCTGTCATTTCCTGATCAGCAGCAATGTTTGGACATGAATACTGTCATGATAACACAAAGAAGACTTATGCACATAGTGGCCCAAGAAGAATAATTAACTGATATATCTAAATAACCAGAGCTAGAAATGGACAGTTCCTATGACTCACGCATTAGAACAAAAGCTGAGGTCACAAAGGTACAAACATGATTGTGAATGACAACTATGGTCTATTTAAAGGCACCATTCCAGCATCTGGAAGGACTGAAGAAAACATCATGTTAGCTAGTCCCAGCCAGGACTTAACCAAAAAATATATATAGAGGAGTGTGAATTGCTAATTACCAACTGATCACACGTTTCAGGCAAAACATACATCCAAAAGGCATACGAAACTGACAGGTTCACTTTCACTAGTACCTAGATCAGAACTTGAGACTACTGGAAAATCTGTAGTGTGGCCATAAACACATGATGCAGTATCTATCTTACCATGGCTTTCTTTTAAGTACCTTACCAAATAATTCGAATTCAGCATTTTGGTCATGAAGAATGAAATTAAAACAAGTGTTGACTATTTTACCCACTATACAGACCCTTCAAACTAAGCTCGTGGCAGTATGATTCTACCTCATCATAACAAACCACACCAAATAAATTTAGAACTCAACAGTATACATTTTCTAATATTGTCCACAGCTTCATAAAAAAAGTTTTTGATAGGCTGAGACACACCACATGTAAAACCTTGCATAAAACTTGGAATTCACTCACTCAAGTCTTGGTTTTGTGAATGTAAAAAAGAACTTGAGCATAAAATTAAAAATTAAATTTAGATGTACCAACCAATGCAGAAGTTCAACTTGAAGGCACACTTATGATGAAACTAAAACTGCACATATCTGTGGGTGATTATAAGAATATTTGAAAATGTGCATAAAACCAAAGTGCTGTCACAACTTTGTCTACAGTTGCACACTGAAGCAGTATGCATTTTAAGAACAACACCTGTGTAAGGCTTCAAGCCTCACCCCAATATGAAAGGTGATATTTGAGCAAAATACTCTTACTGGTATAAATAAGATAAAAATTACAACTCTCTTTTTCTGAAATTAGGACTGAAAGCAACGAATGAGAGACTGAAAAGTTTCACAAAGAAAGTTAGTTTGAATCAAGACATTCAATTGCAGTGTTTCATCCAAACATTCCTCTATGCCCCTTTCACAGTTAAAACTTACTTCTTGTATTGTTTGCAACAATAACTACAGTAGTTTCTTCTTTTTAAATTACAAATATATGTGCAACTACAAATACAAATCTCTTAAGGCCCTTAATAAAATCTGTTCTCTTAAATAATATATAACACAGCATGTGAAGTTTGTGATAATATTCTTTTCTCCTCAAATGTAAACATTTCACATCTGAACAACTGTAGGAATTTTCCCACAGCATTATTCAGCTGAAATGGGCCAGTCTTCATATAAACAATCTGAAGAACTCTGTGATGTCCTTCAAGCAGTTCCTACTATAGTCTGCCTTTCTATCATTTGAAGTTTACTTCACAGCTGAAAAAAAATTGTATTTTAATTTAGAACTTCATTTTGTGTATTTTTAAGATCTTTCCAAGACGCTGTTTTGCTGTTGCCATGCCTTTCTTGGGCTTACGGACTGAAACAAAAACAAAAACATGTCACATATTAAAACTGCTATACTGTGTTATATTATAGAAGAAAATAAAACAGATAGTTTCTGTCTGTTTCCATTTACTACAGGGCATTCTGTCTTTCAAATGTTCATCAAGTGATATTTAATACAAAGTAGTTCTCCTTAAATCATCAATCTGGTCATGTCTAAATTCAAAACAAATTGCTACAGCAAAAATATAAATAAGAACTAGTGAAAATTAATATCCACATTTCTGGAACATAAAAATTGAAGTTAAAATTAGCAAAGTCTTAAGTTCTTAGGCCCATTGATTTAGTAATGTATAACGAACATGATCATGATAACAGCTGAATGCAACTACTCTGCAAATTTATTATGTGACAATGTCTACACATTTTTAAAACTGATAAATGAGACAGAATGTATGAACAAAACAATGTACAGGCACAAGGAGACTTGCAATGGCATAGCATTTACACAATTATTCTTTTAAACTGATAAATCTGTTCACTTTTTTTTTTGGACTAGGAAGGATTTCCATATACTCATTTAAACACATAAACAAAACACACAAAAGCATGATGCCATTAGCCTTACATCCTTTATACAATAACGCGCCTGCAGGCAATGGTAAGTGAAAGTACTCACATTTCACTTCAACCTTCTTCATTGGTGAAGTTGAAGCCTGCGGTTCTGAAGGCAACTTTGGTTTCTTTCTGTTGTACAGCCTCTTTGGGGACTGAAAATGTGCATTAAATACATTTATTTTAAGCAGTCTTTAAGGAATTCATCCTGTTTTGTGTTAGTACTATATATACATATTGTAACGGCCGGATAATAGTCGCTGCGAGGAGTAGCCGAAACAGGAGACACGGAAAGCACAGCCCCCAAAAAAAAGGAACAGGGGTACACCGTTAGGCTATTCGGGACGAACAGCCTTAAGGAGGCAGCAGTGTGACATGTTGCACAATGGAGGACAACCCCTCCCTCCCTCAGCAGTGACGTGGCAACTCTGGCCACGGTGACGTGGTGGGTGAGTCAGCGCTCCGTCCCCCCCTCCACACTGTGACATGGCACGCAACACCGCTGTCGACACGGCGTCAGGCAACAGCAGTACCGATTACATAACGGGCAAACACTGCAACTATATAAGGGAACTACACAGCAGCCGAAGTCAGTTAAAAGTGTATCAGCAGCCGAAGTGAGTTCTCAAGGTAGCAGCCAATGAGTTGAGTTGGAATCTAGCCAGCAGTGAGCCATTAAGAGTTGAGTTGGAATATAGCAGCCATTGTGGAAAGAAGAACCGGACGCGTGTGTGATAATCAGTGATAGCCTGTGATAACTGAGTAATAGTTGGGAGTGTGTGATACAGTGACACTTGTATAGCTCCCGTATCATAATTAATACGTGTATACTACTGAANATATATATATATGAGTTTTCATTTTACCTATAAAAAAAAAAACCAAATAACTCACATTCCACTGAGCATATCTGAGTTTCCTAGGTTGTACAGTGTTGCTACATGTTTTGGTTCATAGCACCATCATCAGGTGATACATAAACAAGTCTTATAATACTGAATTGTGATTTCTGTATGGATCCATATACTGTGTCTTTTGTCATCTATTATGAATAAAGTGACGATAAAGCATGCTTCTCTCAGATATGCACAATGGAATGTGAGTGAGTTATATATGTTTATTTTTGTTGTGTTTGACAGGTAAAATGAAATCTCACACACACACACACACACACATATAAATATGTGGGTAGGCTGAAAAGTAATGCACACATGCTTGTAGAGCGCGAACAAAAACAAATAGCAAGATCGGACAAAAAGTACATTAAAGTACAATTCTTAAGTTTCAAAAGCATATATTTATTTTTCAACATAGTCACCGTTAAGGCTAACACATTTCTCCCAACATGTAACAAGTTTTTTCATTCCGTACTGAAAAATTCTTCTGACTTTTCTCGAATCCAGGACTTTACAGCTGCCTTCACCTCATCGTCCGAGGTGTAATGATTACCCTTGAGGTCTCTCTTGAGTAGAGGAAAAAAATAAAAATCGCAAGGCGCAAGATCGTGGGAATAAGGAGGGTGCAGAATCAGTTCAAACTTCAGGTTTCGCAGAGCCCCTTCAGTTGCGCGCGAGGTGTGTGGACGAGCGCTGTCATGTTGCAAGATTACTGGCGCCAGGCTGCCTCTAACACGACAAACTCAACGCAGGAGGTGTTTTAGAGTTTGTATGTACTGAGAAGAATTTACCGTTGCCCTTCATTCCAGAAAATCAGTGACATAAACTCGGTGAGCATCCCAAAACACAGTCAAAAGAAGTTTTTTGGTGGATGGTTGTGTTTTGAACTTTTTCGCCTGAGGAGAAGACAGATGTCGATATTCAGCGCTCTGTCTTTTCCCTTCTGGGTCGTAACGATGGACCCATTACTCGTCCCCCGTCACAATATTCAAAAGAAAGTCGTCTCCTTCGTCACGGTAGCACTGCAAAAGTTGCTCGCAACATTCCAATCCACGCTGTTTGTTTTCGTCTGTGAGATGGCGTGGTACCCATCGTGCACAGATTTTACGGTATCCCAACTGTTCAACACTGAAGCTGACACGTTCCTTGGATATTCCAATATGGTTTGCGATGCGCTTTTGAGTGATTCACCGATCATTTTGAATCAAATCGTCGACGAGTTTGCAATGATTATTGTCTGTGGCAGTGATCGGACGTCCGCTGCATGTTTCATCAACAATTATGGCTTTTCCAGGCTCGCAACCACGAAATTTTATTACCCATCGATTTACAGTAGACCTATCAACAGTATCGTCACCATAAACAGCCTTTAAACGACGATGAATCTCAGTAGGAGTCACTTTTTCAGCAGTTAAAAATTTGATAACAGCACGCTGACATAGCACTAGAACACATATCCATACTTCTGCTTCTCGAAATACACTGGATGAACGCAACGACCTCAAACCTGCGCATGCGTATTGATGGGGAATGTTACTTCTACATTCCACCTGGCGCACTTCTGAAGGTCATTTCGTTCGCGCTCTACAAGCATATGTGCATTACTTTTCAGCCTACCTACATACATATAGTGAAACCTCACTTAACGAGCACACTTTGTTCCAGAATCTTACTCGTAATGCGAAACAATTTTTCCCATATAAATTAACGTACAATATGATAATGCATTCCATGCCAAAAAAAATACTCAAAAAATTTTATGTATAACGTGTATTCAAAGAATCATCTGCATCGTTTCTTCTATGCGGAATGAACCAACCTGGAATGCGAATTCGATTTGCAGAAAAAAAAAATCGAAACTACTCATAGTTTATTATTTATGATACATATCTAATTCATTTTTACTAGAAAGCTGTCTAGAGTCATTTGTTTTTGCCGACGCTTCATAATTTGGTGAAAATGCGACACAGCATTATCATTAAATAAATTTGTAGTGCACATAGCCACTGCCTTATTAGGGTGATGCTTCTCAATGTACGATACAACAGTTTCCCATGCTTTCGGCATTTCTCTTATTGCGCCAGAAGATTGTTGCTTTGCTGTTACCTCCTCCTCCTCTGACAAACTCTCCTCCACAACTTTTTGCTGTGAAACACAATGCAACTCCAAATCGTGCAAATCGTTGATGTAGACCGATTGTATATGCGTGCTAGGTCAGCCACGCTCACACCTCGTTCTCGCTTTTCAATGATTTTATGTTTCATTTATATGGTTATTTTTATTCTCTTATGGCTGTCTTTTTGCAGCTTTTCCTTCGGGGACATTTTTGCAAGGGTTATTAAACTTTGCACAAAAAAATCACAAATAATATGTCTGCACAAGTGTGTACATATTATTATGTGTGTGATCACAAGTGACACTAAGATGCTAGCGGAACGAGTGCTAAACAGACTGATGTAGCAAGCGCACAATCCATGACTTTCCTTCCCGTCACTCATTAAGTGAGTCATTTTTTTACAATTTGCTTTGCTCATTAGGCGAATTACTCATTATGAGAGGTGCTCGTTAAGCGAGGTTCCACTGTATATAATTCTAAACAATTAAATTCATGAAGATTTTGTATTCCTTATTTCATAGCTGTTTTGTGAAGTGGGCTTTAGAAAAATACCTAATAACAAGGGCTCATGTTAGAATTTATGCATATATGAATGGGTACAGTTTATGATTCACTGTGTGTGTTACATCATTCCCATGACAGATCCATGGAAACATATGCTTTGCACATACTGTACTTGTACATAAGGCAGCTCTATGTTTGAAACTGTTCCATTTCAAGGACAAAATTGTAACTTTATTCACAGTTTTTATGGGGAAAAGTGACAAAGGAACAGTTGGTTGGTTGGTTGGTTGGTTGGTTGGTTTCTAATGTCACATTTCGACAATTAAGTCATTTGGGCTTTTATTCTCAGCTGGTTAATGTACTTGCAACTCATCTTATATTCAAACACCACTTGGACAAGTTACATTATCCAGGAAAGGGAACAGATGATAAAGCAAAAGAATAAAGGGGGAGATAATAAGGACATAAAAGGAAGGAATCCCCACAAATTTCCAATGGTTCTTTTCCATTAATAGTTATAATGAACTGCAACTTCAACAGGATACAGTCATCATTTCTGTATTTGGCAGGTATATGTGTGTCTCATATTTTCAACATCATATTGAGAAAATGAAAACATACTAACACTAATTTTTCAATCTCAAACTTTGAGAATTTTCATATAACTGTTTCAGCTTTGCACAGCAGCAGGCAACCTGCCTGATCCATCAGAATCATACTGATTGACAATGCTAGCATGAATCTACTTATCGGCAAAATCTGTCTCTCTGTCCCCGCCTTTCCCTTCTCTTTAGCCATGGTAAAGAAGGACTTGACACAAGAACAACTTTCTTTAAACATTAAAAAGGTGCTCTATTAGAAAAGCCAATGAGTTTTTTTTTTTTATAAAATTGTAGAAATGTAGAATGCTTCATCTGATACTGAAGATAGTAAGTTCAGCGTTTTAACTGTCATATTTTTGGTGTCATAAACCAAACTATAACATAAATGAAACTGTCTGCCACCTTCTGCCCTTGTATCATCAGTCATTTACAAGGACAAAAACATTTAAAAGCACCAGATCTTGACTGGAAAAGTCTCAGCAATGTCCTCAACAGAAGATACCTCCCAGCATCTCTGGAAATAAAAGTTTGCTAAAAAGGCCCAGCAATGTTTTTAGCCGATGACACCATAAGCATCTTTGGAAAGCAAAACAACTGGTAAAATTATAACAGAAAGCATGCAACCTATTACCCTGCTTCATAAGAATAGAGCACAGATACAAGTACAGTCAAATCTGAGGATATTCATTTGAAACAAGAACTGCCTTATTCCCTCTATCTTTAACAAAGAAAGAAACAAAGAAAAAGTTATAAATGTAATTTATTACAGTTGTACTTAGACTTAGACCATCTGAATTATTTTAAACAGACAGGGATGACATTACAAAAGGGCACAACGATCTGCACCCACTACTCAAAAATACTGAAATATCTAGGAATCTAAATAGAACGTACCGGCAATCCTGCACGTTTTGCTGCAGCAGCTTCGAGACCCTTCTCCACAGCCTGTTTCTTGGTCCCTTCTCGTGTTGGCCTATCTGTTTTTGGAACTAGAGGGCCAACACGTGCCTTAGGATTCCATGCTTCATCCATCTTCCGCTTTCCTCTGGGTTTGAAAATCAGGTCTTCATCATCTGAACCATCTAATGCTGGGTAAACTAGACGATTAAAAACAAAAAATTGGGGGATATAACAAAAAACGATTAGATATGCAAAAAAATATTATATTTTATTGACTTATTTAACAATGATTTCTACAGTGTACAGGTTAGAGATCATCGAATGGGATAGGATAATTGTCACTGATGAACTGGAAAGAATGAGGACAGAAGTGGCGATGACTCTGATCCCTTGATTGCCTGGAGGTACTGAGAAAAACAACCAAGGCCTCAGTCAGTATAGTTAACCTCCAGCCCAAGAATCAACCTGGACTGAAAACAATGCATGAGCAATAACCATACAGACTGAGTACATACAGGGTGAACATTTAACAGGGTTCATGCCCCAAAGAATCCAAGATGAACTAACAATATCATGTTTTCATTGTTTAGTGTGATCTAACAACTGGTGCATTAACATCAATTTCTGTTCATAAACAGATTTTGAAATGAAAAATATTAATTATAATGACCTCTGACCACTGATCAAATTTACTAAATTAATTATGTCTACAAGATGTGCTATAATTTTGCCTGTGGTTCTGTATGGGTGTGAAACTTGGTCTCTGACATTAAGGGAGGAACATAGACTGAGGGTGTTTGAGAACAGGGTGCTGAGGGTAATATTTGGACCAAAGAGGGATGAAGTGACAGGAGGTTGGAGAAAACTGCATAATGAGGAGCTTCATAACTTGTACTCTTCTCCAAATATAATTAGAATGATTAAGTCAAGGAGGGTGAGGTGGACAGGGCATGTAGCACGAATGGGGGAGAAAAGGAATGCGTATAGGATATTGGTGGGAAAGCCAGAAGGAAAGAGACCACTGGGAAGACTAAGGCATAGGTAAATAAGATAATACAGAAGAAAGAGACCAAGTTTATTTAACAGGTACCAGAGAAATGAAAGTATTCATGCTACATTAACCATTTCACTCATGTATCCAAGGTTGGTCATCTCCTGGTGCTTTTTCAAGACTACCACATTTGAGCAAGGTCAGAGGGTAACACAACATGATAAACATTTCTCTTTCAGAACACACATGGAATGCACAGATTTCTCGATTTCTCCTCGGTCACTAGCTGGTAAATGCAGCTCTACCTCTTGCAGTTCCCAAGACATATCAAGATCATTTGCTGTTTATTTCTTTAAATACTGCAAACCATTAGTCTTACTTATTTATGTATTTACCCATGGAGCTGAGCCCTTCTTGAGGAGCTGCCAATTCTGCAGCTACTCAAGAATTTCCCAGCATTTTATGGAACCTGAAGGTTCATTACCATGTTCACAAGAGCCCTCCACTGGTCCCTATCCTGAGCCAGATCAATCCAATCCATACTATCCCATCCTATTTCTCTAAGGTCCATTTTAATATTGTCCACCCACCTACACCTTGGTCTTCCCATTGGTTTCTTTCCTTCTGGCTTTCCCACCAGTATCCTACATGCATTCCTCATATCCCCCATTCATGCTACATGCCCTGCCCAGCTCATGCTCCTTGACTTGACCATTCTAATTGCAAACCATTAGTCTACTGACAAAAACGGCTGGCTGGCGTGCAAGCCAGCAGCACAGTTGTTGGGAGTGAAAGTGTAACATTACATAGATCTTACATCCACATAGAAGAATTGTTAGTTTTTTCCTGCATTCTTCTCCCAGACATTTGAGGTAAGATACTAGAAACTTACTGTAGTCTTCATCCTGATGAACTTTGTCAATGTTTTCTCCATAGTCATCAGAAAATTGAATCTTTTTCCTTCGAAGTCGTGGAGACGAAATTTCATCCTTAGAACTACTGTGGTCAGGCATGAAGGCTCTGCTTATCGACAGCATTCCTGCAATTGCCTCCCTTGTGGATGGAGATGCTCTGCCAGAACTACAAAAAGTTAAGAATGTGCTCAACATATTAGAAATATATGTATGCTGCATCATCTTCAGGGTTGAGGTGTCTAGGTTGGTGAGTTCCTGTGTATATACAGCATGCAATATCCTCACCAAGCTACATGCTATGACACATAAGATGGAAGTAGCATCTACCTCCAAAATGTTGGCCACACTGCCCACATCCACATTACATAAGTAACAATCATGAAAGCCTGAAATCAGTATATGCAATATGTGCAAAGAATATATTGTCACATGTTTGGAATCCAGACGCGTTACTTCCAAGGAAATGCCAGAACAGACCGTTGCATAGGAAGTAACAATAGCGGTATTATAATTCTAACAGTGAGCTGTTGCGTAGAGAATGCCGAATCTCCCCGGAGATGAGTCTCCACGGTTATAACGAGGGTTCATTGAATAGCAGCGACCAAGGTTGTAAAAAGGGTTGAAGGCATTTGCCAAGTCAGTCGGAACCTAGATGCCATACGATATAGAAGAAAGACAGCAAGAAGTCAGTATTGGGATAGCCGTCACTGAAGACAGTTGAGATCCAGCCATGGCCAAGGTCAGTATAAGCATCGAAGTAGAGAGAGAAGTCAAGTGATACTGCGAGTAATAATAATTGTAATGTGTGTAAGTGTGAGTGTCCAATAAAGATTCGCTAAATTCGAGACCCATGTGAAGTTATTTGTCGCATGACATACCCAACACGTGACAATATTATCCCATATTTAGGAGTGACTATAGATAGGGTATGGATTGGTGAGCAGATTTATTGACCACTTATGGGTTGTAACTACAAATAATTATAACACTACTGCTGATTTCCACACTATTAATCATTCCATGCTAAGGCTTCTCAGTCTGCTTTCACTAGTCATTGCTTGGTAAAAGCTCTTGACAATGTAACCGTTCCACTGCTACGCAACTTTATTTAATGTAATCAACTTTATTAATTTGAAAGCTTAATTGTTCAAAATGAAATGCAGTTAACAAGGGTAGTGAGACATAGGTCAATTCTTCTATGCAAGAGTAAGCGTCTTCTCACGCTTACAACAAGAAACAGGAAGACACCCGTCAAAGGTTTATTAGTGGAAAGCTGCGTTAAAGAATAGGGTAAAGAAATCTTTTGTAAATTCAATACTTGGCAGTTTGTAGATGCCATAACTTAAAAAGAGTGAAGTTTTTGGGGCCCAAGCGACGCTTAAGCATTTGTCACTTTCTGACAGAAATACGTTGGAGTCAAAAATCCTTAAACGCTTGTAAGCTTTAAGCGGAGTGGAGGAATATCTAATTAAGATACCCCTATTTTTCAAAATTAGCCAATCACTAATATTTAAGGGTGTGACAGGGCAGTGACACTGGTGAAAGCAGGAATTGAAGGTTTGAGGAAGCGTCATGTTTTAACGTAAATTCGGAAACCGGAGGTTGAAAGAAACAGATGTAAATTCGGAAACCAGGGGTCGTTAGAAACAGACGTAAATTCGGAAACCGGAGGTTGAAAGAAACAGACGTAAATTCGGAAACCGGGGTCGTTAGAATTAGCCGCAAAAAGTTACACACCGGGCTCCGAAGCAGTTAGACATAAAGGTTACTGACACTGAAACTGTATCAAAAGTGGTTAAACAAGTGTTCAATATAATTCATCCAAACTTGAGATGTGCTTGTGATTTGTGTTTAATTTATTCCCTTTTCTGAGTTGTGGCCCATTCAAAGATCTGAGATAAGAGGTCCTCAGCTCTACCAAACCAACAAAACCCCCTCCTTTAAAATAACCCTGAGATAAATTTAGCAACAAGAAAGAAGAACCTACTAGAGGCGACCCAGCGTGTGAAGAAGAAGGAGGAGGAAGGAGGAGCAAGAAAAGGGCGGTAAGAACAATGGCTGTTCCTCTGCAATGTTTTCACTAGATACTTCATGGTGAAGAATATTAACAAGTGTGGTCCTTCCACTTCCATGGTCACTCCACTGCCTGCTGGTTAATTCTCCACACCTGAACTCTGAACTGTAGTGTCAACTGTCTTAAAATAACCCCTCGGTGTAAACACCCATCGAATACACCGTTCTTCTTTTGTTTTGCACATGTTCATTTCCACGGGAATGTGTTTACCGAGCTGTTGCTTAGAAACGGTTGCATAACCCTGTTGTTCCATTATTGTGTGTATGTTGTGGGTGTTACCTAGCAACAGCTGCTGTTTACCGAGTCACTGCTCAGGAACAGGTCTATATGCAACAACATAAATGTCTGAGAATGACACACATTACTCAAAGCACTTACTCTATATCTTCTAATCTTGGATTATGTTCCCCACGGTCTGCATAACCAGAGGCTTTCAACAACTCTTCAATTCCATTCTTGGGTGTGTCTGAAACAACATCCACTTCACCTGCTACATCCAACTCTGTACTTGGCTCAGACTTGCCATTTATATAGAGGCCTAAAACAGTGACAAGTTAAAAATAAGCATTACATTTACATCATTATTTTACTGTATAAGGGCTGTCAAGAAGAGTTCTATCCCTGTCAATATAACAGGCATCCGACATTAGGAATTTAATTAAAAATAACCCAACTTCAATATTTAAAACACTTTTCATACAAGAAAGATTAGTTTTGTGGCAGTAACAAATATATAAGTAGAAAACAAATTCCGTGACTTGAGTCCACAACCGAACTATGCTGACCAAGTGACCGCCGCTTGTCGGCAAAGTCAGTGCCAACTTTTAGCAAATAGAGGGTGTTACATGGTCAGTGCAACAAATCCCCATGGCCGTTAATTTCGGTTTTCTAGATCGGATCCACTATTTTCTTGAAAGAGCTCCTCAATTATCCTCATGAGGCTGAGTGGTCTGCATTCCAGACCCACTACTTCTCAGAAAATACAGTAGTCAGACCTCTGACCACTAGACCACAGTATATATACTAACTATAATTACTCTCTGTATGTTACCACTGGCATGTGCATTACAAAGGTCAAAACAACACATACTGTGGAAGCCGGACAAATAAATAAATAATATTCTAAATACAAATTAATAAAATTCATAGACATTATTTTTAGATAGTCAGTGGCCAATATTTACAATTGCAGTCAATGTACAGAACAGCAGTCACATGAATAACAAATGTTATAGGCCAAAACATGTAATGTATTAATAAAACATATATAAATGATTATTTGTTTACCCATATCTACTGATGAAACCTCCTATTTATTCAATGCTTCAACACATTATTTCACATACAGTTAAATTTATTTACATACATCACAAACGCAACTTACTTGGTAGTTTAAGTGATGATAAGGATTCAAAGGTGTGCCTACGGTTCTTTGGTAACTCATCAATCATGAGACTATCATCATCACTTTCATCATGAAAATCATACACAGAGTCACTTAACTGTCTGCTGGAATCTTTGGCCCTGAAAATAATTTATCAGTGTGCATTTTAGGATATGACTGACTTGAGCAAGAATAACTGTCACCTTGAGTCAATATTCCTGTACAGAGAAAATGCAGTGATGCTATAATGGAAAGTAGACAGAATGATAGAACATCATAAAAACTGCACTACTATAATTCTTTAACTCCAGGAGTGTTCAATGAGCAAAAATAATTTTCTGTAAACTGGTTCTCGTAAGAAGTAAGTAGTTTCTCAGTATCTGAACACACATAAAACACACAATGTTTCGAGAAAGTTGCAATTTTTTCTTCAGACTGATTATACTTAAAATTGGCACTAAATTTACTCCAGCTTACTGATATGCATGAGTGGCATCTATTAAGAGCCTTTCATTGTTATGTTTACCAGCGAAGTTTACCAATACTGATAATTCATGCAGCAAACATTCAATCTATGTTCTGCCTTCAAATTGTAACCATACATCATAACCTCAGCTAGATATAACATGTTCAGTTACTAACCCAAGTTTCAACCTCATGACAGGTCCACTCTTGAGGAAGCCTGCTGTCTGCTCCTCAAGGACAGGCAGCTTCATATCATCCTCTTCTTCCTTTAACTTTACATGATTGTCTATTGAGCGTCTGGTCAACTTGTTCTCACTAAGAACTGCATTGCCTATGTCAGCAGAATCACTGATCCTTGCACCGAAGGCATTTGTACTGTATGGATATGTGGCAGGTTTTGGCAGTGTCAACTTCAGAGGTGGTCGTGGTGCAACAGGGGCTGGGTTTCTGCTGATGGTTTTCAATGTCAGCTTCAAGGGTTCTTTCATTATAACCTACAACACAAATATTTCTGTTGGCATAGATTTATTTCAAATCAGGAAGACTGAAAGACATAAATATTCTTTTCTTAAAATACCAAGCATTTGATGACTTCCAACATCTGTAACCTTACTGGAATTTAATATTTAACCTTCTACTTGATGCATATGTCTTGTTAATGCAACACTTCATATATGATTGGTTAACACCATACATTTCAGGCAACATCTACACATAAGCAGAGAAGCAAATTTATCAACATACTAACTATCCTTCGTCCCCAACATTTTGTCAGTATTTCCCATTCCACTCTGTGCAGCTTACAGTCTCTATGGGTTAAAGTCAGTGCACTGTGCTTTCATTACTTTTGAATCTGTGCTGAGAAAGAAAACAAAAAGGTCAAAGTATTTCATACTTTTGCCTCCAAGGACCAGCAGGCATGATATACGAGGGCAAGTCAATAAGTAAGTTACAAATGGATATAGAACTTAAACAAATAAAAGTACTGATTTGAAAAATGCTCTTATTTCTCAACATAATCTCCCTGTTCATTGGGGCACTTGTCCCATCATTTTACAAGCCCCTGAAAACCAGCAGCATAAAATTCTTTGGGCTGCTGTCAGAACCAGGCGGTGACTTCCCTTACTACAGCTTCATCGTCAGAAAAATGTTCAGCCAAAAGATGGTGTTTAAGAGGGCTGAACAAATGGGAGTCACTTGAAGCAAGGTTGGGCTATACGGACGATGCTCGAGGACTTCCCACTTGAAATTTTGCAGTGTCTCATTTGTCTTGTTGGCAGTATGGGGATGTGCGTTGTCATGCAGAGCAACATGCCTTTGGTGAGGAGTTCTGATCACTTCCATTGAATGGTCTTACGAAGTTTCCCGAGGATGTTACAGTAGGAGTCGGCATTTACAGTTTGTCCTTGAGGCTGGAATGTGGTGAGCAGTATGCCTTCATGATCCCAGTCACCTCCTGGTTCTGACAGCAGCCCAAAGAATTTTATGCTGCTGGTTTTCAGGGGCTTGTAAAATGATGGGACAAGTGCCTCAATGTACAGGGAGATTATGTTGAGAGATAAAAGCATTTTTCAAATCAGTACTCTTAATTGTTTAAGTTCTATATCCATTTGTAACTTACTTATTGACCTGCCGCAGAATTCATGCTGCTTATATTTATTCAAATTCAATACTTACTGGCTCCTCCATGCCTTGAGGCTGTGAAAAATCCACAAAATCTTTATTTATTGGTTTCTTTTTCTTCCTTTTTGATTCCCTTTCTGGTTTTGGTGGATTCAGAGAATTCAGGAAGCGTTCTGCATGCCGCACTTCCTTGCTCAAATCTTTCAACAGTTTCTGACTCTGAATACTGGCAGGAATTTCTTCTCTTCTAACCTTACTGCTCTGGAAGAAAAAAGTTTATTTAAAAAGGAAAAGCATATGTTCATTATATCTACACTGGAATTCTTTATCATAAAAAAAAAACAATTTCAGATTCATGCCTCAAATAAGATAGACTGTCTGACCTACCCACACCTCCAAACTGTGTGAAACACTGACATTCACCCCTAACTAGATGGGTCTGGAGACTGCTGAAGGCCGAGTCAACGAAGAACCCATGACAAACTTCTAGAATAACAGTAGCAATAAAAAGTAGACGAGAAATTCCTGAAGAAAAGTATGAGCTTAAAGGTGGTGCAGTGCAGATGTGTGTGGAGAATCAGGCGTGAAGTACAGAGTTCTGTGAGTCCAGCTGAGTGCAGTGAAGACAAGAATTTAGTTCACTGCAGTGGCCTCACAGTGAAACAATAATAGACAAAGATAACCTGATATCAACAAAATGAATGACTACTGACGGTGGGAAAATAACCATTCAAAAAAAAAATGACAAATATTACAGCTGATGTCACATGTGAGATCGAAAACAGATCCACCGCTGCAAATGGTTTTAGAACAGCTAAAAGAACTGAACCTGAACATAAGAGCCAGGCAATAACCCAAAAGCACATAAGCACCAGATAAGAAAACTAGTGGCCTTGCAAGAGAAACTGGAAACCTGCCAAAAAGAACTAAAAAGCAAAGTAAGTGCCACAAAGGCTGACCAGTGCAAATTTGAAGGAATAACAACAGGCACACCAGACACACAGCTGAAGGCATCATGGCAGTGGTTCAACAGCAGGCTCAGAATCTTTGCAAGTTCAGCAAGTGACATGAAACATAAAACCAACAACATGATCTGACATAATGGTGACTCCGTACGACCTGGAAGTGACATTTTGGAAGTTTGAGATGTAGCTGGAGGCAGTGGAAGGCTGAACAAGTTGCAGAGGTGGACAGAATTCTGAGACCAGCACCATCATGGTGAAGCCACCATAGTTTCACAGATCACTGCCCTGGGCAGTGTTTAACGATAAGACAAGGCCATGGTTGATAACAGTAGTTTAGCAGCCCAGGAGAAGGCCACACCTACTTGGCATTGTGTGTGATGATATTGGCCAAGCCAATATCATCACACACAGAGTCCCGGCTGAAGCAACATATGAAAACATACCTGGAACACTGAAGGGCCATTACAGAGGCCACTGGCTGATGACAGCCTACCAGTCTCAAATCAAAGCCAGGGCCCAGCTCTGCAGTGAGTCACTACATGTATTTCAATCAGCCATCAAGCAGTTAGCCAACTGGGCCCGTTTCGCTGAAGAAACTTCATCCAGAGTGACGCAGCCTATGCATTCTTCAATGTAGTAAAGGACAGGAAAGGACAGAGCATGGTTTCATGAGTGGGAGAGTTTACAACCAGGACCCAGCTAAGCAGTATGTCACTACAAAAATTTTCAGCAACCATCAAGCAGTTGGTCTCTCCAGTGTGAGACAGCATTTGTGCTCATCAATGGTGTGAAGGGACTGAAAGTGACAAAGCAACTCCTTATGAGTGGCAGAGGTCTCTCAATGAAGCCCTTAACCAGGCCCTAAAGCTAGAGGCCATGGAAGTAGCAGCCGCAGCACCAGCTAGGTTGCAGGAAGAAAAGGCTGGAGCCCCAAACAACAGCAGGGACTGAGCTTCACAGACTAAATGACCCATATGTTGGCAGTGTAGTGTGTCATTGCCAAAAAGAACGCTGACAGAGGCATGACAAGGAGGCAATTCAGGACTCCGGAAATCAATAAAAGCTGATGTGAGATCAGGGCCAGAAGCACAATGTCAATGCTCTCTCCTGAAAACCACATCAAGAAGAACAGACTCATTACCAAAAATTCAGGGCACTGGAGAATATCAGCAAGGTTTGATTTATTGTGGCCATAGCCACAGGTGGCTGGGAGCCAGCTATCCTAAGGAGGGAGCAGTTGAATGACCATGAGACAGGACTAAGTCTACAAGAAGTGGAAGATGAACAACACATCAAATGGAAAGAAAATGCCAACTGCAGCCCCACTTACAAGAGCTACTGGGCCCCTAGGAAGTCCCTTGCAGTAAGGGATGGCATACATAAACACCACTGGGAGTATATCAACAGACAGTCCTCCCTTGGAGCAAAGCAAATGATGTACTCACTGAAACCCAAGGAAGACAGGTGGACACCTGGGTGTAAACAAGACCTCAGACAAGGACAGCTAAAGGCACTACTGGTTCCAAGCAAGAAACAATGTTGAGAAGTGGTGCCAGCATTGCCATGGTTGTGCAACCAAATGCAATCTACAGTCAGGTCCTCATGCATCAGTACAATGTTGGGGCACCATATGAGATGATAAACACTGGAAGAGTAGGATCCTTCTCTCAGAGTAACCAAGGGAACTGATACCTTGTGATTGTGATGGACTGTTTCACAAAGTGGCCAGAGGCCTGCACTGTCCCTAACCACAAGGCGTCGAAGGTGGCAAAAGTCCTGGCGACCAACTTCTTCTGCTGCCTTGGAGTACCGTGGGAGCTGTAGTTATCCAGGCCATAACTTTGAGTCTCGCCTTATGCAGGAGGTAAAATGCCTGGGAGTGAGCAAGACAAGCTCTACCCACCTCCACCAGCAGACAGCATGGTAGAAAGGTATATAAAAACAGTTAAGGAACACCTGCGAAAAGCTGTGGTGTAGCAATACACGGACTGGGATGCAACGCTGCCCATCTTTCTCATAACACTAGGGAAAGAGCATCCTGAAGCACATATTTTGTATTTCTTCTATACTGTTTTATAATTATAATGTGACTAAGTAAATAAAGTAAAGCTATTCCTGTACCAGGCCGTGAGGGCCCATAGGGTTGTGAGACGTTGAGGGTCCCACATTATCTAGACAATCGGCTCAAAGATGGCGGTAAGGCTGTCAGCCTTACGCGCCGGCTGCACTTTACTCCCCAGGAAAATTATTTAATCCCTGGTAGTAATTTCTGTTAGAGGCTGAGTCAACCGCAGGGCCACAGTGCAGCTGGAAGGATTAGGTCAGTTCAAAAAAATTCAATGACCTCACTGGGACCTGAACCCGTGACCTTCCGGCTTGTAGCATAGCCCCTCAACCAACTACGCTACCACATGCTCCTAATTAGAATGTGAGTACACAAAGTAAAGCCTTCACTAATTTAATGTTTTCAATACTTACATCTTTATCTTGGTTCCACTGCTTTAATGTTATGATAAGAGCCTTAACTCCAATAAGTAATGTAAGAGGGCACTTCAAACCCATATTATTCATCTCTCTCAAATCATTTGCAATGGACCTAGCTGCATACCAATTTGTTGTCTCAAATGCTGGAAATCGGAATTTCTCTGGAGTATGGATCTTCTTTTCAATCTCATATATTCTAAATGGAAAAAAACAAATTTGTTATCACTGAAACATAAGACACCTGTCTGAAAGGCAGCAGGTTTCTATTCTAACATCCAAACAAAAATGTTAATGAAAGGAAATTTGTAGACAATCCACGTTTATTTTATTAAAATGTTTTTTATGAAACATAACATTTTTTAAGCATTCAATTTTGAATGAATGACAAGAGCTGCACAGAAATATCTGTTTCATGCTAGAGAGGACTACCTTCAAGGCTCCACAAAATGTTCTGTGCTTTAAGGAGTTGACTCACAATATGAAAATGTATTTATACCATGAGTGAGAAATACATGTAATTAAAATAAAAATTTATTTACAAAAGAGTCCGCTTATAGCTTCTCATGGGCGCATTCGGTATATAACAGATTCTCATAATACAGAAAACTTTAACAGAAAAAATAAGCACCACCATGGAAAATAACATAAAACCTGGAAATTTTCTCTCCATATCATTAAGGAACCTTTTCTTAGAACTGACCATTCTTCTACACAAAGTAGGTCACAGATGCTATTTTACTATCCTGAGGCTACACGACCGAAGAGAGATGAAGTGACAGGAGGTTGAAAAAACTATATAATGAGGAACTTCATAACTTGTACTCTTTTCAAAGTATAATTAGAATGATCAAGTCAAGGGGGGTGAGGTGGGCAGGGCATGTAGCACGAATGGGGGAGACGAGGATTGCATATAGGATATTGATGAGAAATCCAGAAGGAAAAAGACCACTGGGAAGACCAAGGTGTAGGTGGGTGGACAATATAAAAATGGATTTTAGAGAGATAGGATGGGATGGCATGGATTGGACTGATCTGACTCAGGATAGGGCTCTTGTGAACATGGTAATGAACCTTCAGTTCCATAAAATGCTGGGAAATTCTTGAGTAGCTGCAGAATTGACTGCTCCTCAAGAACTCAGCTCCATGAAGTTAGTTAGAGGCTACATGCAGGGTCTTCCAAAACTGAGCATCTCATTATCATTCTCACTAATAACCCTACAATCTAGCTTACTATTTGCATCACTGACTGTAAAGTAATTAATATTTCTCATGCCTCATTGCCTTGCACCTATTATTGTTCTTACCATATTAGAGAATGTGGCACATGACAACATTGTCTTGTCATCAAAGAAATACATAACTTAGACCCCAATAAATTCCATGGTTTATCAGGAAAATTCTTCTTAAAACAAATTTTCTTCTCTTAACTTCATAAAATTACTTGTATTAAACCTGAAGACACTCAAATATTCAGAGCTCAGCATTGCTGATATATGCATAAATATTCAAAGTCCTCGAAAGATGCATAAGGTTTCACTGTAAGAGGACACTGTTTCTTACTGTAACTGCATACTGATGTTCAAACTGTGCAAGAAGTTTCCACCAAACACCAAGGAATCAACAGGAGTAAGAACCGCATGAATCCAGCCAGTTGGAATTAGCATCGTCTCACCTTCCTTCATTACACATTTATAACACATGTCAACCTGAAAAGTGCATAAGACAACTGACAGGGATCCTAAATGCTAGATTCTCTCACTGAAATACAAAGATAGAAGGTATAAACTTGTTCCAGTGACTCACAGCATGCTACTGATAATTCACTGAAAATAACGTATATTACAAAAATAATGCAAATGTTCTGACACTCATTTTAAAACGTTTTAGAATCTAAGATCTGACAACAATAATGAAAAATGTAAACTGAGATTCATTTTACACATCTAGAGAATTCCAAAAACATTTTCTTCATGCAAAAGCATGGGGTTCATCTCATTCAAAACCATATATCAAACAAGTAAAATATGTTATACCTGGTCTCCAAAGAATGTCTCACTCTGTGTACTGGAATTCATCCAACGCTGATACAGTGAAAGGTTTGCTTGGGTAGGTCTGATTATATAGAATATTTTCTGGCCCTACAAGAATTCAACTAATATTAATCACTTCTTCCTTCCTTTAAAAGACAAATACACATATAACATAAGCAGTATGTTCTACATCTGCATATACTGCACATGCTACCTACCACATTGCATGGTTTTACTGTGCATCAAAATCTATAAAATGTTACTCTATGCCACAAACAATGCCACTTACTCGTAATATATGGTACCACACTGAAGTACCGCCAAAATCTATGTGGAAATCTGTGTAAGAATCTTTCACTCCCATGAGGCAATACTTTTGAACTTCAGGTTTCCTGAACTCTGTGTCATCTGGTAAGTCGTTTGGCCACACGTAATTTACCCAGTCCAGCTTACGAGCAATATATGGAGCATCTACCATCTGTGAAAGACTAGAAGAGGAACAAAAATATGTCTAATACATCCTGTCCACTTCAGAAGACTGAAGGCAGCAACAAGCACACAGCACCAGATTCTATCAAAACTAAATAACAAAACTGTAAACAACAGCACACATAGATACAGTGAGACTTGAAATCCATGATTTAAAACTACTGCAATAGTCTGAAACCTTAGATTAGTCACATGCTTCATTCACAGTTCTTTGACTCACTTGCCACATGTGGGTAGTGCCTCTGTTGACACTTTTCTTTCACTGTTAGTGTGGAATTTTACTAATACTGGCAATGCATTTACACATTTTACCAACCAAAATGCCAAAAATCAACAACAAATAATTAGGACTGAAATCTGAGAAAATCTTTGAAGTCACGGAACTGTAAAAACACTGCTTCAACTATACTCTGACATAGAATCACTACAGAATTTTATAAGAATCCCTCAAAGCAACATTAAGTGATGCTAAAATTCCTGAGAGTAACGTTCTAATGTCCAAGACATAGCTTTCTTCTCTTCATAGATGCTTGAAAAATTTAAAAGTTGAAATGCTTTGAAATTAACTCTCCAAACACTTCTAATACATTCCCCAAAGATGCAAACTTCACGCTAGGAAGAAACCAAAGAGATAGGGGTTATTTTTTTTTTGCTCCTATCAGAAGACAGACACTATAATGAATATGAATATTGCTTAACATTATTAATACCATTAATGAAATATTAACATCAAAAATATTAGGACCACCTGTCTACATGGAGCAGACATTTTCTTGAAATGCTTATGGCTGCTCAACCAGCCAAGATACTGTTTGTTTTATGGAACCTCAATGTTCAGCACTGCACTGATCAAAGTTGGCTACTGCAATGTGTCCTGAGACAATCAAATGAGGCCCACACCTTTATAACTCACTACTCTGGACAGTATGTCATTATTCTTCCACCTATACACAGATGTCATAAGAGGTTTCTACTACCAAGGATTTCACATTGTATGCATTTCTGCTCTTTCTCCATGGCTACTGTACATCCTGGCCTGCTCATCCTCATTTTTGAGGGTTATTGAAAAGTAACCTCTGGTGAGCTGTTAATAAAACAAGCAATTAGGAAAAACATTAATGTATACAAAAAGGATGTATATACTTAAGCTACTTCTCAACGTAGTCACTGCCGGAACTGAGGTATTTATTGTATCTGCAAATCATCTTCAAAGATTAAATGACACACCTTAAATGAACATAAACATTTATACTTACCCAGTGTGAGAGAATTCTAAACTGATCACATTTAATGTCTTTGTTCTTTGTTCTGGTGGTGACGTATAATACTCAACAAACTCGTCAAGCTTCATTCGGATGTCCGTCTGCCGAGTCACATCAATAACGTCAACTTCACGATCAGATCCTAAAAGATTAACATTAAAAACCATAAAACTAACATGCATCTTTTTATAATAAACATGTGTTTGCAACTCAAATCTGCAGTGATGCCATTTTCACATTGGTGTTTACATCATCTGGCTTCAGGATAAAAATTACAGTTATTGGAAAGAATATAGACAGGTTCTCTTTCCATGTGCCAGTGGCAACTTGAAATATGAAAGTCAGATTCTCTGAAAAGTGACCACCAGTCTCTCAGTGTTGACCAGAAAGGCCACCATCTTCTCCCATGTGACTCAATATTGCAAAACTACAGTTTAAAAATCTGCATGCCAAAATTTCCAAATCAAATCACCATCTTCCATTTCTCACATTTGCATGACATCAGTGTTCATGTAAGATGGACTGAAACAGGAAAACTGGCATTAATCTGTCCCTGAACAGAAAGGAGGGGCTCCCAACACCCATTTTATATTTATAACTGTATACGTGTATATTATAGAAAATATGCCATAATTACATACAATAAATATAAGGATCTTGTTCTAGTACCAACATCAAGCAAAAAAGCTCCTACAAAATTACGGCTCCTAACACTTGATTAGCAAGATGTGGGTTACGTTATGCTCAGCCACCACGCCTGAAGTTTTGGAGTGGTCTAAAATTCCTGGTACCACACAGCTCGGTTATACATTCAGTAGACAGAGGTCAGTTTCATATCATTTGTATAAATTATATAACAATGCAAACATACTGCACTGTCAAACCCTTAATTTCATTAAAAAATGTAAGGTAAACATTTTGTGGGCCGGTCACGGTAGCCGAGCGGTCTAAGGCATGTACTGTCTTCGCTCACTTGGAAACCGGGATTGTGGGTTCGAATCCCACTCAGGACATGGATGTTTAGTTTGTGTGTGTGCGTTTTTCTGTGTTTGTGTACAGGGAGAGGCCTTGTGACGTGCTGATCACCCACCCAAGCAGTCCTACCGAATGTGTAAGGTCTAGAAAAACAGAATGAAGTTCATCGAGGTAGGCCTAGGCCCACTGGGACTGTAGTGCCAAGAAAAAAAAAACATTTTGTGGACAGACTGCTATTAAATTATGGGGGTCATCCAGAAAGTAAAGACCATTTGTGCATAGCACTTGTGCAGGTCAATGAATTGCACCATTTGAAGGTTAGCAGTCTTTTAGCAACAAGCCTAGTGAATGGTGCACTGATTCTATTGTTTTGCAATTTTCTGTAGTATTTAAAAGTGAGTAAGAACTTTGAGAATCTTGCCCATTGTGAAGTGTGAAGTGTAATTCAGTTTTTCAATAAATAAAATGTCCATCCAATTGAAATTTACTGGCAACTTACTGTAGTGCATGGGGAAGGTGTAATGAAGGAGTCAAATGTGAGGAAGTGGTGTTGAATGTTTAACGAGGACAGGACAAATGTTCATGATGAGGAGTAATCCAGGCGCCCATCCCTCGTTATTGAGGACTTGAAAAACAGGATTGATCAACACATCAGGACAAACAGGAGTTTCACTCTTCATGAAATTCATGAGAAACTTCCTCATGTTTCTAATTCACTGATTTATGAAATTGTTACAGGGTATCTCCACTGTAAAGAAAAAAAATTGTGCTAGATGGGTGCCATGGATGCTCACTAAACAACACAAGAGCAACCATATGGGTGCTTCTCTGACATTTTTGGAGCATTATCAACAAGAGGGCAATAGTTTTTTGGACCAGGTATTCGCAGTTAAAGGAGATGAAACATGGGTTTCACATATCATCCCTGAAAGTAAACGTCAATCTCTGGAGATGTATTATTCTCATTCATTGTCAAAACCCATAAAATTCAAACAGATTTTGTGAACCTGGAAAGTCCATGCCTCAGATGTTGGGACTGGAAAGACATCCTTCTGGTGGTATTCAGTGAAAGAGAAATTTTAGGAAATTCCTCATGAATTTCATGAAGAATGAAAAGTCTGTTTGTCCCGATGGACATTTTGTGCACTGAAAAACTGAAATACAGCTCACACTTCACAATCAGTGCAATTCTTGAATTTCTTACTCATTTTTAAATGCTACAAATAGTCACAAAATGACAGAATCAGCACATCATTCACTTGGCTTGTTACTAAGACTACTGAGGCTCGCTCATTAACCTTGAAGTGGTGCAATTCATTGACCTGCGCAAGTGCTATGCACAAACGGTGCATGATCCTTGTAAAATAAATGCACTCCTATAAGGGTTTGGATTGGTAACTGGATGTACTGGACTCTTATAACTTGTAGCTACAAGTACCTATAACGGTTTCATTGATCTATGCATTTAAAAAAAACACTACAGCACATGCTAAGTCTCGATCTATTATATCTTTACCAGTTGTTGCCTGGTAAAGGCTCCCAACAACAGATACTCCTCTGCCTCTGCACTGATGCCCTTACTTGCTAAACACTGTCTGACACTTAACCATTTGCTGCTAGCTCTCACTATATACCATCAGCATAGACATTACAGAAAACGCTGTTTCCAACAATATCTTTGATTGCCGCCTGTATATCTGTTGCTGCAGAAAGGTGTTTACACAGCTGTTGCCTCACAAAGGACCATGTAATTATATCAGAATACACCCATCTGCAACCAGGTTCACAAAAACTAATGTCAGTGAATTTCAAAATAATTATGCGGAGGCTGTGTATAAATTTAAATTTATATCTCACTGCATTTTTAACTAGCATGAAACAGCAGTATCTATGGTGGTCTGAGTCCCTAATGTTATTATAGAGAAGGGAACAAAAAAGTTGGACAGGCAATGCCCAAAGAAGCCAACGTGTGCAGTAATCAATGCTACTAGGAACATATTACCACCTTTATTTTTGTTTCCAAGAGTCAGGATGCGTGACTTTTGTTAACATAACCCAGAAGAAAGTCTGGAACTAGAAAACTACCCTCCCAGTGGGTGGGCGATGGGATCTTTGTCTTAAAATAGTGCTAAAAATCTCAGTTGAGATACAGCAGAAATAATTATGTATTAAATTCTCATGAACAGCCATAAAAGTCACTGCACTTGAAATGCTATGCTTTATGCACAAGAGAACAGTATAGTTTCACTCACATTCACGCCAAACTTTTGACACTGACTTCAGTCCTTAGACATGGCTGTCTTTGGACTGCTCAAATATAGGCTTGCTGCCCATCAAAATGGTTGGCTTTCAAACCAATGAGGAAAAACCACAATTGTATCCCACATAACTGGCATCACTCACAAAGCCTTCAATCCTTCTTTCATAGAAATAATAGTATAGCAAGTTCTGAAAAACAGGATCTAGCTGTTTCACACAATTATTCAATTGTGACAATTTTGCATATTCTGCGCTTACTCACAGGTCTGAATAATGCTGAATGTACAGATCAGTAAGAGAATTCTGAAAATTTTAATACTGTTAGGAGATTGTCCCTCTCTGACACTCCTGATGTTCAAAACATAACTGAAGAACCTCATTATGCCTGTCCAAAAAAAAAATCACATGTTCAAAACAAAGCTGAAAAACCTCATCATACCTGTCCAAAAAAAAAATCCCATGACACAGCCATGTCGGCTCCAGTAACTGTAAATCTTGCACTACACCGATCCCAAAAGAAAAAAAGCGATAAGGGGAAAGAGAGAGGGTGAGGATGGAAAGAGGAAAGGTTGGGGGAGAGAGAAAGTGAGTCCAAGGAAAAAGGGAAAGTCCAGAATTTTAACTGACACATCAGAATGAAAATGAATTGCAGAAGAAATTCAAGAAAGGAAGAAGAGAACACACACAGGAAATAAAGCTGCCATTAAAAAAAGGACTTAACAAACAAAAGAAGCGTATTGGTTTTGACCTGTGTTCAGATAAGTGACATTTATGTTCATGATGGCAGTGACACATTTACTTCTGACCTTGGGCCGGGCCATAGCTATGGTTAGCTGCTGGCTAACCAGTGCCAGCATAGCACTGGTTAGCCAGTGACTNCATAGCTCAAGCGGTTAGTCACTGGCTTTCCACCGCGGCGGCCCGAGTTCGTTCCCGGGTCTGGTTAAGTGGGATTTGTAGTGGACAAAGTGGGGCTGGGGAAAGTTTTCTCTTAGTACTTCGATTTCCCCTGCCAATCTTCATTCCGCCAATTGCTCCACAATCACCCTCACCTATCATCTGGGGCTGGTACAATAGGCCAGAAGTGGCCGCAATGCAAGGGACTTAGTCCCACCCCACTAACAATAAAAAAATACTTCTGACCTAAGCCATGACAAGGACATGACTGCTGCAACAGAAATAGACTGTAAGAAATCTGATTCAATTTCAGTTAACCTTTAAGAGACGGCCATTTAAATTCTGGTAGTGGTAGCAGGATGGAGTTAATTTAAATGCCCGCCACTGTAGAGTAATAAAAATTGTAATCATGTTACTCAAAATGCTGTGATTTCTACAATTTTTGTGATAAACGAACGAAATAAACGCTGCTTTTATCTAGAAAGAATATAGAATCAGTTATTGTAATTTACCGATTTTAAAATCTCTAAAAATTTTTACACTGATGCCAAAAAAAATTTTTCCCCTCAATTTCGAAAGTCTGTGCACAAAAATGCACACAGTTCCTGCAAAAAACATTTCTGCAGTCTGAATTCCTGCTGGTGACATCATGCTCTAACTATGGCTTGTGTTGCTACAAGATCCGATGTTTATGCTTCATTCATCATTCTCCAGTTCGTAGGTTCCTTTCAGTATGAACGAGTGTGGGCGATGTGTACTCGTTCGCAGAAACACTGACTGTTTTATCTCGTATGGCCAAACAAGACGTAGTCTCTTTTGAAATATAGCCGAGCAGTGTCAGAACGTTCAAGTCTAGCGTTGTGTTTAGCTGTCCACAATGGCCTCGTATTTGGAAGATGCTGAAATTGAGAATCAGCTTATAAATGACACCAATTCAGACTGTTGTACCGATGACTCTGAGAGTTGCGAGGAAAAAAGTGAATCAGAAATTGAAGTCGATGAAGAACCATCATCTTCGTCGGCAACCTGGGGACCACCACACCAGCGTGGCAAGAGGAGTGTGAATAATTATTCAGGTGGAGCTGTGGGCAAACTGTGGCAAACAGTTATAGCATCTGTCGTCAAACCTGGAAATGGACAAATAAACTATTTTTCCATCTCCTGGATCTGAACAGTTACAGCCTGTTGTCACACAGAGAATTTCGTCTCGCTCTTGTGCGGAACATGCTGGAAGGGGTCCACTTCGCCCTCAACGGCCCAGGGGTCGAACCCCTGCCGTTTCATTGGAGATACCTCGATTAGAGGAGCTCAAACCACATCACTGGCGGTTGATTTCGACGAAGAACCATCATCTTGGTCGGCAACCTGGGGACCACCACACCAGCATGGCAAGAGAAGTGTGAATAATTATTCAGGTGGAGCTGTGGGCAAACTGTGGCAAACAGTTATAGCATCTGTCGTCGAACCTGGAAATGGACAAATAAACTATTTTTCCATCTCCTGGATCTGAACAGTTACATCCTGTTGTCACACAGAGAATTTCGTCTCGCTCTTGTGCGGAACATGCTGGAAGGGGTCCACCTCGCCATCAAGGGCCCAGGGGTCGAACCCCTGCCGTTTTATCGGAGATATCTCGATTATAGGAGGCCAAAACACATCACTGGCCGACTTCCTCGCGTGGGAAACGAAGAACCGTCCAGACAAAGTGCGTGAAGTGCGACGTTGGACACTGGATTTCCGGATGTTTCCAAGATTTCCACACGAAGCCAACAGTCCATTAGACGACGCAGATGGGAAGAGAGACAACTTATAAAGCTGGTGACCAAAAATCATGTAAGTAGAAAAAGCATTTATAACTTAAAATTAGAGTTTAAAAAGCCGGCCGCACGCGTGGACTGCGTGACGACATATGGCGTCATTCGTCCCCTTGACTTTATTTTCATGACGCCATATGGCGTCGCTCAGCTCTTAAAGGTTAAGGTAAATTACTTTCATGTTCATGAAATTAGTTAAAAAAAAACAACAAATTTTTCACTATGTAGGAGAAGTAGAGAGGAAACTTAAGCCTGATGAATGTACTGCCAAGTTTTTTAAGAGAGTTTTCCTTGATAAAGAAAAACTAGTACTTAAAGTGAGCATAATTTGAAAACTTTCAACACAGGTTCCCCAACCCTGTTCAAACTCACTCCTTATTTGGGTCATCTGAAGAGTACAAAATAATGCAAAACATTCTGGCAAACATTTATGAAGAATTAATGATTTAGGCTCTCATGGAGGTGAATCATACTGATAATTATGACATGTGTTAAAAATATTAGCATCAACTATCATCCAAATGCAAATTAGTGTACGAGTGGGAAAACCAAATAATGTGAAGTGGTATTCACATGTACCATTCCCTCCATCTACATATTATATTGCATTTTATATCAGCAAGAATTCACAGAAAATTAACTAATTTTCTACAGGTCTGTATAACATATGAAAGCAATATTAAGATTAGTATATGCTTCCTTTTCATGCAGAGCAATCATGTAGAAGTGTCGGAAGTAAAGTATTAGCTTTCACATAATTATTACCTTTACCTTGTTACTGTCATTACAAAATTTCATTCTCATACTTAGAGCAAAAAAGACAATTTTACATTAAAACAATTTAGAAACATACTCATCAAGACTTCCTCCATCACATAGGAGGGGGTACCCAAAAGAAACCGAACTTTTTTTTTTTAAACTTATTTATTCAAATTTTAAGCACAAACCTTCAATCCCCTTCAAAGTACTCTCCACTTACACTAATACACTTGTCTAGTCTTTTATTCCATTTTTCAAAACATTGTCTAAATTCATCTTTTGAGATGCTTGACAGCGCCTCCGTCGTTTTTTCCTTCACCTCAGCAACATCAGCAAAACGTTTTCCTTTCATGTCTCTTTTCATTCGAGGAAACAAAAAAAAAGTTCTGATCATTTCGGGACTCTTCTTTCAAAGCACAGCATGCTTCCACGCGACCTTGTTTTTGTTCAGCAGTCATGGCACGAATTTCGCAGCCACCCTTTTCATTCCCAAATCTTCTGTCAAAATTTGCTGAACTGAGCTCCACGTCACTCCCAACACCTCCACAATTTCTTCAATGGTCCGTCGTCGATCTTCCTTGATGATTTCACGAATTTTTTCAACATTTTCATGTGTTCGGGCCGTGGAAGGATGACCAGAACGAGGTTTGTCATCAACTGACATATCACCATTTTTGAAACAGGAAAACCACTCAAACACTTGAGTTTTCGCCATAGCATCGTCCTTGTATGCCGTTTTTAACATTTCAAGAGTTTCTGTTCCACTTTTCCCGAGCAAAAAGCAGAATTTCACTGCCGCACGCTGTTCACGAAAATCAGCCATTGCAAAAACGACGATCACACAAAACAGTTGTCACTATAAACTCTGCCAAAACTAGTCCTTACCTTCTGAAGCAACCGTAGTCGGCTTATCGACTCAGCTCTATGCGCTCATAGCGGCAAAACGCGATACTACAAAAGCTCTGCCCACAAAAAAATTAGTTCAGTTTCTTTTGGGTACCCCATCGTAGAGGTAAACAACTGCTTTTGACAAAGTTTCTGCATATTGACTTCATGAATTGCATTTTAAGCATCAATCCAGACAAGACTTTAAAAAGAAACAAAAGCTTGGGCATTAATAAGTAGCCAAAGTTTATTCTTTCACTTACCAATATAATTTTCCACATCCTGGACTGTGAAATTTTCAGGGGGTAGTAGCATTTCCAAACCCTCCTTCTCCTCTACAATTATAGGCACATCAAAACCATGTTGTGTCAAGTAGGGCAGAGTAAGCTGATGTCCACGTAAACGCAACACGATTCCATCCGCACTATATTTTAAACATTTTCACTGTATAATACAACTAAACAGAATACTTCATGATTTACAGTGTTAAAATATAGGAAAGAAGCAACAAAATTAAAGAGTACTTCATCTCTTGTTATAACTATAATCTAATTATGACATCTACATCCTACTGTTTACTACAATTCCACAGCACAAGGTCTCCTACCACCTGAGACAATTATTAAACTACTGAAGAAATTCATAATTATACAGATCCAGAAGGTTCATTATTCTGCTCATAAGACCCCACAACTGGGCCAAATCATAAGCCAGTTCAACCCAGAGATATTGGGTTTTCGGACTTTATCCATCGTCCTGGTTCTTAAGATAAATAAGAAAAACACGACGTTTCGGAAACTGGATCTGTTTCCATCCTCAGGTGAGGGATTGAGGCTAGCTCTTTCTAAGGGACCCAACAGAATAGGTGTTTTCCCTCACCCGAGGACGGAAACAGATCCAGTTTCCGAAACATCATGTTTCTCTTAGTTATCTTAAAAACCAGGACGATGGATGTCTGAAAACCCAGTATCTCTGTGTGTTATACACCATCGTCAGAATCCTATAGTAACTACCAGTTCAACCCAGTTCATACCTTTGCACCTTATTTTTCTAGGAACCCTTTTAGTATTATACAGTCTCTATACCTATGCCTCCCAAGATGCCTCTCCCACTGAGGCCACTAACACAGAGCTAACACAGATTTAATGTGTGATCTGAAGACTTTATGTGTGCTATAGTGCAGTGGTATTGGGGATGTGTGATTTAGGGACACTTTTATAGTTCCTTTGTTATAAATCCGTGAAGACTTGTGGAGAGCGACTAAAGAGAGTAGCATGAAGTGCTTTGTAGTGTGAAAATCAGTAACAGTGTTATAATGTAAATCTGCGGATATCAGATAAATAACATTTTATCTCCTGCTTATATTCTGTCACAGCTTGACCAATACCTGGAGATTTTTACCTCTTCAGTATTTAAATAACAATCTCAGCCTCAAATAATGAGGCTCATGTATGAATGGCTCAGCTGTACATATTTCAGTCTGACAGAAGTGACAACCTTCCCCCACACATCTTAATTTTTCAAAACAAATGAACTGCCGACTACCTTGGTACGTATTAACTCTCATACACTCAGTTTCATAAGGATAAAAATATTTAAATATCTGTTTTGTAATGGCTGCCTGAAACCATACTTTCTGTTTTATACATCACAACCGATTCCTTTCTTTCCTTGCATGGACTAGTAAATATTTACAATCATGGTACCATTCAATAAAAAGCACAGTAGTGGTGGGAACAGATTTTTAACATGCATAACTGATTGTACGATGGGGTACCCAAAAGAAACCGAACTAATTTTTTTGTGGTAACGCGTTTTGCCGCTATGAGTGCATAGAGCTAATACTCCTGAGTCGATAAGCCGACTACCGTTGCTTCAGAAGGTAAGGACTAGTTTCAGCAGAGTTTATAGTGACAACTGTTTTGTGTGATCGTCGTTTTTGCAATGGCTGATTTTCGTGAACAGCGTGCAGCGGTGAAATTCTGCTTTTTGCTCGGGAAAAGTGGAACAGAAACTCTTGAAATGTTAAAAACGGCATACAAGGATGATGCTAAGGGGAAAACTCAAGTGTCTGAGTGGTTTTCCCGTTTCAAAAATGGTGAAATGTCAATTGACGACAAACCTCGTTCTGGTCGTCCTTCCATGGCCCGAACACATGAAAAT